TGAACGCTTGAAGTTCTTCTTGTCAGTGTCAAGAGTCTTGAGAACGCTGATTTTCTCAATAAGTTTATTGTCACATTTCGTTTTGGATTCATTGTTCTGATCGTGTTTTTGATCTTGTGTCTTCTGGGTTATTTTTTTTCCCTTGATATTTATGTTGTTCAAGATCTAAGTTTTCTTTCTTTAATGCTTAGAAGGGTTGTTGGAGGTTAATTTACAATAGTACCATTCTCAGATGAGTTATGCGCCTGACACGTGGCGAATTTCGTCACTCATTGTAACAGAAAGGGAAAACTTGTTAACGGAACAAAGTTTAGGAGAACGGTTGTTACTTTTTAAAGTTAGGAAAACAAAGTGTTATAAGAGTCCTAGTTCAAGAAAATTTTTTAAAATTAATCCTATAAATTTTCTAAGCGTTACCTTTCTTTTTTTTTCTCTTTTGAATATTGCTGAATAGTTAACACTGTCAAGTAAGATTTTTATATTTCTTTTTGGTTTTTTCATTTACTATTTATGATGCACATGACACTTTAGGCCAGTTTGATAAATTTTTTAAAATGATTTTGTTTTCAGTACAAAATTAAAAATGAATTTATTTTGAGAATCATTTAGAACCGATTCTGAAATTACGTTTGGTTGATTTTTTAAGAGATTATTTTGAATATAATAAAAAAGTAAAATTGTGTTTAGTTATAATTATTAATTAATATATTATAACATTATTGATAAGTATTAGAAAATAAAAATAAAAAAATAACGTTTAACTATTTTATAATTTTTTCACAAAAATTATTCTCACTATTTTTTATTTTTATTTTTATTTTTAAAATATTTACTAAATAAATACGATTTATGACTGTTTTTATTTTTGTATCTTAAAAGACATGTAAAAATATTTTTAAAACTAATTCTAAACGCACAATTTCTATTTAAATTTTGATAGATGCAAACGATTTGGACCACCATCACTAAAAATATTTGATGTACGGTTTCTCTTAAAATTAGATTAAGAATCAAATAATCACTTTGAGGTTATTTTGTTAGAGGATTCGTATCCCAATTTAAATCATAATTAATAATTTATTATAATATTTTTTCTCATAAAAAATATACATAAATTAAAAATAATTTTAATCTTATGATTTTAATTTATGAATCAAACATTTTTTTTATATAAAAATTTAAATACTGATTTAAATTTTCAAATTTAATTTTATTACGTTAAAAACTATCATCATGCTGCTACAGTTTTGCTCCCGAAGTGCGGATGAGATAAGCCAATGGGCAGGTATTGTAAAAAAGAATGCAAGGACACTAATGATACGGGCCAGAATAAGACAGCCTTGTGGGCTCCACATCACTTGTGAGAAGCAAAAGCGCTCCAGATACTTATGTTTGGTAGAGGAATTTATTTTTGATTTAAATCATAATTTATGATTTGTTATAGTATTTTTTCTCATAAAAAATTTACGTAAATAAAAAATAATTCAAATCACATAGTTTGAATCTTCTAACTAAACGTTCTCATGTGAGTCATGATTCAGAATTATTTTTAATTTATATGTATTTTTTTAAAAAAAAATTATAAAAAATTATAATTTATAATTTAAATTATGACGTAAATTTTTATATCAAACACTCTATTATTATTATTATTTTTTTCTATTCCCTGTGAGTCCGTATTATTCCTTAACCAGTGATCACTATTACATCATTCACACTAACAGCATCATCCTTATATGAACATTGAACGGCAACTGAGTAGAATTTTGCTATTAGCGGCAGTGAATTTTGCTAGTAACAGTGCTAAAGTGTCTTGATTATCTGCACAAAAAATTTTGCTAAATATTGTATACGTAAATCACTTGTGGTGGCAGCATAGTACTAAAGGGATCACATAAATGAAGGTCTAACGTTAAGGGAGAATCTACATGTAAATCATTGTATAAGATGCACAATTAATTCCTTGCATCTGCATTATAATTATCTCAAAATTGTGTCACAAACAATGGTTTTCAACTACCACCTCTAAAACTCTAAAAAAAAAAAAAAAAACAGAGAGAGAGGGTTGTTGTTGTTGGGGAAAGTCTATGGGCCTGTTTGTTTTTGTTTTCGTTTTCGTTTTTCACGTTTTTTGAAGCTAAAAAATGAAAACACACTCTAAAAATGTGTTTGGCACAAAACTTTTCAAAAAATAAAAACAAAAAAGTTTTTGTCTTTTTGTAAAAAAATGAAAACGAAAAAAATCCGTTTTCTCGTTTTCGTTTTCATTCTTCTGAAAACAGTTTTCATTTTTTTTCTTCTCTCTCTTCTCCACTACCCACCACCCCCGACAGCCCCCTCCCCCACTCCGACATCAACACCGACTGAAGGAGATGAAGGACGACAGAGAGAGATGTCGCCGGAAATGTGGTCGCTCGGTGGCTATCGTCAGTTGTCGGAGGGCGCC